TGCTAAACCTAAACCCTAGGAGCTGGGCATATTATTACCCTGAAAATAATCTAAAATTTGTAGGGAAGAAAGGGGGATGGTTATTTGGCGACTAGTCATCTATCAATAACCACCACAGAGGCATACAGGTTTGTCCAGAAAGACGAGTTACTTCACTCTGAAAAATTACCAGTGGCCAATTTTATCATAAACATTTTTCCAGAAGGGAAGTTGAGTAGCAAAATAGATTTAGGACACAGTTTTATTAAAGATGAAGTCTTGAGATGCATATATTCCATAAAACCCAGGTTTCATGAAGCTATAATTTAGTGATAGCATTTTTGCAGATAACTAAGACAATTTTTAGAGCTAACATCAATTGTAGATTGTCCATATGAAATTATAAATCTTTACAGTCTGTATCCTACCAAATTCTTTTAAAATTTACCAAATTTTTTTTTAGACAGGGTCTCACTATGTAGTTCAGACTGCTCTGGAACTCAATGTGTAGCCCAGGATGGTCTCGAACTTGCAGCGATACTCCTGCCTCAGCCTCCCCAGCGCTGGGATCACAGGCGTGCGCCACCACGCCTGGCTAAATTTTACCAAAATCTTTAAAAGTTGAAAACTCGTCAATTGCTATTTTGTTCCAGCATGAGAGTTTAGCCGTAAAGACTAATTGTCTGCAGGAACCTGAAAGATAAATGGAAAGTCTATGAGTGTGCAGGCATTAAACATAACAGGTTTTACTGATAAATCGGTGGACTGAAGACAACCTGGGCTTGGGACTTAATCTGCAAAAGTGGGCAACAGGGAAGGTGAGTGCATTAGTCAAGGCAAAACATGCAAGCCTGCAATGGGTTCTGCAGAGCCCACGGTGCCCTGCCCAGGGAACACAGGTCACAGGGAGTCAAATGAAGCCACAGAGCCTGCAGAGGCACGAGACTGGGTCAGATGCAATAAACACATCCTTTGTATGGAGGCAGTTTCAGGGCTCTGCAATTCTTGCTACTTTTTCAAAGATGGCTGAAAATATTCCTTGTAGATCCCAGAGGGAAGGAATATTTCCATAGTGAGATTCTAAATTATATATTGATATCCTTTTCTAGCATGCTGTTTTGATCAAGACCTGTCAATTCTTTCAAAGATGACTGTCACAGAACTGACAGAAAAGGGGGTTGAAAGAATTGAGATAAAAAGAAGCCTTACCTCACTTCTTTTATTCAGTTAACCATTTAAATAAATTGTTTGTTCTCTTTCTTAGAGTAAAATAATGTAAAGGTTTTTTGCTCCCCGAGACTGTGAGGCTTGGGCTGTTCATAAAAGGCAGCTGAGCATGCTACCAGACAAAAGGATCGAGAAACTTACCTAGCACGGAGGTCTGGCCCCTGTAGACTCAATATGTTTGCCAAAATATGTTGCTCATCAATTTAATTAATTTCAGAAAGAATTTTTATGGGGCTGTTCCCTTGTGTCGCTTCCCTAAGTCATTTCAAATTTTTTGTCACCCTTTTAAAATGGCTACACAATGAGATAGCCCATCCTAGGCAACTATATTTATTTTCTTATGTATGAACTTGGGAATCTGGCTATTGAAAGAAATCTTACAATGAAACATTATATACGGCAAATATTGCCGTCTAATTTGTCTGTTTTTAAGAACTGCTTTTCGTCTAGTTGGACTAAGGTGGGCCAACCTGCTATGCTCATAGAATTAGCTCTCCCGTGCTGCTGGCTTTTCTTTTGAAGTTGGTGTTCACAGATATCTCACTGGATGGATGCCGGAAAGATGGAGAGCGAGTGGACAGTGGGTGCAGGGCCACCTGACTTTCCCTAGCGTCCATCCGGTGCCTCAGCCTCTCCAGGGGTGGTAACACTGCTCCTCCTCTCTCCACAGCTCCCGTCACTGTGCCTCAGAAACTCCCACTGGTTCCAGAGGAAGTGCCGTTGTCTCAGAGACAAAACTCAAAGGTATTCATATTTCCAACTACAGAATGATAACTGTTCTTATTTACAATATCATCTGTGACATTTTGGGTAATATCCACATACGTGCTTCAGACGTTAAGTGATGTTTCAGCTTTTCCTTTTTGTTTCTGTAGCACTAGGGATCCGACCGAGGGCCCTGTGCGTGTGAGGCAAGTGCTCTACCATTGAGCTGCATCCCCAACCCATGAAAAGGGGAGATTATTCGACAAGTCAGTGCTATCACGACACTGTCAGTGGAGTCTAAAAATTTCATTCTTGCATTATTGTGAGATAAACTGGGCGACTGGGAGTCAGCTTACACTGCTCACTGGTCAGGAGTCTGGGGTGCATTAGGTCTTATGGAGTGAAGTTTTACTGCTCAGTATCTCCTTTGTATTTAGGCGTGGGCTAAAATGGCAAGACCTCCTCCAATTTTGCACAGAAAACCTTTCATTGAGGAAGAGGAAGCAGTTCTGTGTTCTTCTACTTTAGTACAACACAGCACGACGTAATTCATCCTCAGAAAGGTGTCCCTAGTTTAAAGGTGCTGGATTTATGTAGCTTGCTCTTTTACACTTACGAGTCACAGACAGACTTGCGATAATTGAAACTTTTCACTAAGAAGGAGACAGCTGGCCGTGCTGTTTCTGGCTTACCCACGTGGTCGTGTTTTCAGCTGCTGTCATAAAGAAAGGAAGAGAAATTGCAGAGTGGCACCTAAGAAATTAATCCTGTGGTGTCTCCAGAGTAGACCACTGCAGGACCTGTTCTTACCCTTCATCTTTCAATGCCCAACTCTTCCTAAGAGATTTTTGCCGTCTTTTTGGCACTGGTGAGCTGTGCCCCCTTTAGAGCTTTCCAGGCTGTTTATGTAGCAGCATGTCATGTGACACCCCAGTTGCCATGGCAAATATTTGTGTTTCATGAAAAATGTGGGTAAAAAAAAAAAAATCAATGTAAATGGCCAAATCCCAAGAAAGACAGGCCTTCAGGCAAGTGCTTGGCCAGCACCATTATTGTTTGAAATTCAGCTGTTTAACAGGCTGTGAGGAGGCCAGGGGCTAATGTGCATAATGGAAACAGGCAAGGCACCTGTTTTGGTTCTCACCCTGTTCAAGTGCTCAGGCCCAACAGTTTTACAGAAAAAAATCTACAGGTAATACAAACAACACGACTAAGTTTTAGCCAGTAAGCATTTCACCTAAAAACAAATAAAAAGAACTTAAAAAAATGACATATTTCCCAAATGCTAATTAGCCGTGGCTTTAATTTCCTCTGCTGACCTCACAAAGCCTTTTCCTACTGTTAGAAGCAGTAATATTTAAAGACCTTTCCCCTGGCCCCCCATGGTACGTTTCTGAATTGTCTCTTCAGGGGTAAGTGTAATTATTCATACACTTTGCGGGAAGTACATTTGGCATGGAATTAAAAGGCCAAGAGAAAGGTGCACCATGCCCAGCCTCACAAGGGAGGCAGCACAGACTTTTGACCAGGCTGCAGCCCCAGGTACTGCGGTGCCACGTGGAGAACACTTTCCTGTAGACACCTCTCTGAGGGTTCCCTAGAAGTGCGACTTGGCACCTGCTTATAGTTGTTTTGTACTTATTTACTTTGTCAAACTCTTCCCTCAATGCAAACAGGGATTGGCAGGCAGAGCATCCTTGTCTGGGGGTGGGAGAGGTCTAATTATTAGCTCTTGCCTGCCTCCAAAGAGGGAACAGACTGGCCCGGCAGGGCAAGCAGGGCAGTGGGGGGACAGGGACTCTGAGCCTTCTATTTGTTTTGTAAAAGTGCCCATGAGAGTCGTTTTGATTTAACCAAGTCTCATTCTTCATTGTAGGGGAGAGGCAGAAGGTCAAGAGGACACTATGATGGGAAGGTCTGTAATTTGTGTGACTAGTTGAAATTTGGGATCTGTCAGCTGATGTCCCTTCCTTTTGCTGCAGGGCAGAAGGACAGGAGGCCGCTTGACAGCTAGACATGGAAACCAAAGTTTGCGCTTCCTTTACAAATCAGACCATGTTTTCAGAAAAGGGCATGGTTTGCTTAAAGTGAAAAACCTTTTTGTTTGGTTTTTTGTTTTTTGTTGGGACTGAATCACTTTTCAGTCCAAACAAATAAATGAGTGTCCTCAGAATTTGGCTGCATTACATCACCCTCTTTCAAAGATTTTCATAATTTAAAAATATACTTAGAAGGAAATAGGTGTTAAAAATAAATTCAGTTGGCCCCTGGCATGTGCTTACATGTGTGGACGTGCACAGACATGTGTGTGCACACACATGCTGCATGTATGATGTGGTAGGGTGAGGGGCTGGGATTCAAAGTTAAATTGACCACAATAACCAAGGTAAACAAAAAATGGGGAAAACGGAAACAGTTCCCACAATATGGCAAGTATGTGCAAGCAAGAATATTCCGTGAGACCATGCATGGATAATAAAAATCCTGAACTTGAAACAGGAGTGTGCTGGATTCTCCTTCCAGTAGTAGGGTGACTAACTTTGGCAAATCACTTAAATTCTCTTTACCTTACTTTTGTCTGGCAAATGATACCTCCTTTCTCATAGGGTTGCTGCAAGGACCAGATAAGTTAATGTGTATGAAAATGGTTTGGAAGTAGAAAGCACTTTTATCATGATTCATCCCCTCTTTTTTTCTTTTTTACAGTATTGGGGATTGAACCCATGGCCATTAAGCTACATTCCTAACACTTAATTTTTTTATTGTGCTCGGGTTGGGTTCAAACATGTGACCTTCTGTCTTTGCCTCCCAGAGTGCTGGGATTGCAGTCACTGGCTCATTTTAAAGACCATCTACTATGCCAGTGATGGCAAGCCTTTTAGACACATTTACCAAACCACAACCCAAAACCCATTTATTTATCGCCAAGTGCCAACACTGCGATTAGGCCCAAATACTGAGGTTTTAGTTTAGAAAAAACAACTCATACATTAACATCTATTGTCTTAAAAGAACAACAAATAGGGGTGGGGATTTAGCTCCATGGTTCTGCTACCTGCCTCTCAAGTACAAGGTCCCAAAGAACAACAAATAACAGGTGTGCCATAGGGAGCCACCACTGTTCTAGACCTTTTCTCAGTGATCTTATCCGGAAGAATTTCAGAGGGAGCTCAGCTACCTCTTTTCAAGGAAAAAGCCCTCCTTTTGGGTCTTGTTTAACCTCTGCAGAGCTGTGATTAGACGGGGCTGATTTACAAGAACTGCAGACAGTGGTTCTGAACCCACACAGACTGCTCCCGGATAAACCGTGCAGTGTAGTTATATCCTCCCCGAGTTCCCCTAACTCTTCCTGGAGGAAATCCTGAGCCTGATTCTGCACTTCCAAAGGAGGATGTGTTTCAAGAACATGACATTCTTTGTTCAGAGTATTTCTAGCTGCTAATGCCGACTGAGCATGTCCTTGTGCATCACACTAACACCTGCCACACCCACGGGACCCTCATCACAACCGAAGGGCTTCTGTGCTGCCAGTGCCCCCAGGACCCCCCATATGGTGAAGGGCTGTGGTGACCCTGCGGACACAGTGAGGCTCCAGAGTTGGCTCTCTCTCCACAGACCAGTTATGACCTCTCCCCCACGGGCTCGTCCTCCAAACACTGCTGCTCTGCTGTCACTGCCCCTGCTGCTGTTACGCCACCAGCACTAGTGTTTACTCCATGCCAGGCTCTGTCCTGTGTCCTCGTGGCTCTATGTAGTAGGAATAGTTATCATTTTATTTCACTGGGAGGAATTGGATACAGGGAGGCAAAGTCATCCAAGTAAGTGACAGAGCCAGCCTACGAAACCAGACTGTGTGACTGCAAGAGCTCCGGAGTATTAGAAATTTTTATGTATCTCAAGCATTGTTGCTGGAAATCTTTCTGTAACACACTATGTCTCTGCCTGCCCAGTTGAATTTCATGTTTTCTCTATCCAGGGTCACGTGTGCCTTTGCGTCCTTCAGTGTTTCAGGGCTGTTGTCCTCTCTGCCATCCTGTCTGCTTTTATCACCTCTGACTTTAACAGTCTTTTCTGTCTTCTAGGTTTGTTGGCCGAACAACCAAAACCCAAGAAGCTCAGTAAGTTTGAGCCAGTCGTGCTCTGCATAAGGATCCAAAGAATAACAAATAATCCATAGTAGAGTCTGTAGCACGAGTTATTTCAAAACATTCAAGGAATATCTATTTTTAGAAATCTGGTTTGAAGTTACTAAAATTACCTCTCTCAGAAAATAGATTTTTTTGTTATCTTAAGGGAGGCACATTCACAGCTATGTTAAAATCCACTTAATTTTAGTTAATACTTTGATAACTATTTTCATGGCTATAAGAAGCAAACAATGCATTTATTGTACAATACAGGTAGAGATTACATTCATGAGTATGTCTGCTTCTGCAAAGGAGATAAGGATAATAGAGAGAGAGAGAGAGAGAAACAGGTGTCCATGGTATTTTACATTATTCTTTGTATGCTCAAAACTCTTCCAAACCGAAGAAAAAAGAAAAAAATCCTATTTCCTAATCCATACCTCTGTTGTAAGATTCCCGTTGGTATGGGCAAAATAGGTTTGGGTGACAACATTCTAATTGCATACCTGGAGGTCTTACTTCTCTTATTAAGTTTTGCACTGTTACTTGCCTTTAGTGTTTTTCCGGCATATACTCAAGACCCCCTTGTCAGAAAACCGATTATTTTATGGATGAGTTGGCTGAACCTCCTCAGCCAAACAACACAAATGACACTGAACATGTCACCGCCTCAGCTGGCCTCATCTCCTCCTATCTCTACACGCACCCCTGGGCCAGATGAGGCTGAGGCAGAGGGGCTTCCATATTGCCCAGTCCTCACCCTCAAGCCAAGGGAAGGGAGAGAGGCACACGTGTGTGTGTGTGTGTGTGTGTGTGTGTGTGTGTGTGTGTGT